AAAAAAATATATCACATATCTTAATATATTTTATCAGATTATGTATATTTATAGATTTGTGAATATTTTGTATTATATTTTAAGATTTAAACAGTATATTATAATAAACTGCAATAAAAATTTATAAATTTTGTTTATGATCATTTTATTTTAGTATTTCATTAATATTTTTAGATTTATTTATTTATTTTTATAGTTTTTTAATTATATTTCTTATAATAAAAATATCTTATGAATTTTAATTTGGGTTAAAACACAGTTACTGATTAATTTTATGCATTATGAATGCATTGAAATGTTCGTAATTTTTTTTCATAGGACGTACCTACTGTACGATTACGTTTACGAAAGCCAAAATCTAGTAAAAAGGTCCAATGGACTCAGGGGACTGTAGACAATGAAAATTTAAACAAAAAGAAATCAAAATGTAAGTGGCTGTTATCTTTGCAAACGTTTAGATTTATTTGACAGTTTTAATTATACTTGATTTTTTATCTGTAGGTTGTTGTATTTATGAAAAACCAAAAACTTTTGGTGAAAGTAGTTCTGAAGATAGTGATGATGAATGCGAACATTGTCATGGACATAAAGATGCTCACAAGAAAGTTTTATCAAAAACTGGTGATACTACGCGAGAAGGAATGTCATCACATCCCGGTAAATTTTTTTTTATAATAAATTGCATGCAATTTATTATTAACATAGCTTTATTTTATTAGCATATTTTCTTTTTACAGAACCGATTGCAACAGGTTCAACATAAGTGTTTCTATGCTTATTGACAACTTTTCCCTAAATGGAAAATCCAATTCCTTTGCTATTTCTCGAGTCAATGTTACATAGAAAAAAAAAATCGTGGATTGTAGGTAAGTAATTGTATATAGAATAATTAATGATAATTAAAAAAATATATCAAAATATACAATATAAATGGAGTCAGATTGCATTATTCTTTTAGGTATGCAAATATTAAGTATGATTTTGCACTAGTACATGTGATATTTGTATTACAGTGCTTTAGCAATGTTGCGCGGAAAATTATAAAGTGTTGCTCATATTGTTAATTATTATACAGTTCATAGTGTCTTAAAAATAGTAAATTCACACATATTCTTTAGAAAATAACAATCCATTCCATAGTTTAATTAATTAAGCGAATTAATATCACTCTCTTTGTATATGTTGTTATCTGTTATTTACTATTTACTAATAGAGAAAGCTAGATTTTATACTAAAAAATATTATTTTATGACTTGGATTAACGATATAATTATAATATTATGATATTGGTTCATATATCGTAAACAGATCGAGTTTGGTTATTTTCTGACGTACAAAAAGAATAAGAATATGTCAAAATTTCATTTTTGTTCAAGAGATTTATTACATTTATAATCTTATAACATAATTGCTTTATAATACAAGCACAAAAAAATAAAGTAATGTATTACAAAATACGACATGTATTGTCGTACAACATAATTGTTAGTTATATCATCTTACATATGACAAAGAAAAAGAAGATATAAAATAGTGCACATTTACATTTATTCCTTGTTTCCTTTACCTAGTATAAATACTTTGAATATATATAAAAACAGAACAGAATAAATAAGAAAATTTGATATTAGATTTTACATGAAAAGAGAAAATTATAATCAGAAAAAACTTAATATTCATTGCACACTTTCATTGAAAGCTTCAACTTTTAATTTCTTTAAATTAAAAGATAAATTTAAAACTAATTTCCCATACATATTATAGGCCAATTTCAAGTTCACAATTTAAGAATATCTTGAAAAATTAAATAATATATGTACAGTACGGAATAAGTAAATAGGATAATTTAGGCAGATTATTGATCTAATATCAGTTTGTGAGATTTGAAAATTAAAAAATAATTTGATAATTATCTTTGCGCATAAATGATGTAATCTTAAAATCTTTTGTTAAATATTTTCTAATTTTGCATTGTAACAGACACGTCAACAATATATTCTTATTATATCTATTCTTTTAACATTTTAGTATTTTTTTTTTTTTTTCTTCAAAATAGAGATACTTATCTAATGAGAGATTCTATATTATATTACCAAAAAATGAAATTCTGCGTATGCATTTGCATAATCTCAGATAATCAAAAAATATATTCTCATCATATTTGTGCTTTTACGCAATAATAGTATTCTGGACGATTTTGTATAGTACAACTTAAGTGCAAAATATACTTCTAAGATCTTGTAAAAATAAATGTTTAAATCGGAAATTTAATAGTTTTTAATCAGTCAATATTAGTACCACTTCTCTGAAACATACGTCTTTTTCGCACTTCCATCCCCCTGCGATAGGACTTTTCATCTAAACCTAAAGTCTTTACCATTGCCCGACTCCGCCATATTTTAACTGTATAGTCATCGCTAGTCGTAACTAACATTTCAGGATCGCGTGGATTAAAAGCTACTGAATTGACTACATCACTATGGGGAAATTTTGCTAAGCAGATTCCATAATGTCTGTCCCATAAGTAACCATGTTTATCTTCTGCACCACTAGAAAAAAAAAAGATTTATATTTCATATATATTCTAAAGATATAAAATCAAATTAATAAGGCAAATTAATAAATACAAATATATTAATTACCTTGCTACATATTCATTACATACATCAAGGAATATAAAGAAACATTCATTATTAGGCGTATATGCTTTATGTGCTCTCAACATTGTGCCAACTTGCTTCAGAGTCACCAAATCGATTACATGTATGTCAATTTCTTGTGCTATTGGCGGTGGTTGTAAAGGATTGGTAATAACATAACCTTTTGGCCATGGCCTTGTATTTACATAAAGATATCTAGAAATGTATGCATAAGTTATATACATAAATATATTCATCCTACAAACAACAATGATAATAATATCGACAACTGACCTATGATCAGGAGAAAGTCCCATTCCAATGATGTGTCCATGTAGATCAATCAGATGATCTATCTTATCAAATTTGTCTGCCACGGATTCATAATTTAACCAATCTTCTACCGACGGAGTATTCTGTCTTTCTCGCTCCCTCTCTCGCTGCGCTATCCTCTCGCGCAGTGATGGTCCTGGATCCAATCTTCTTGGGAAAGTGACCAATTTGATTCTTTTAAAGCCAACTTTATGCGGAGTATACGTCTTTGAGCCAGTTGTAAAAATAAGAAGTTTTTCGGGATTATTGGCTAACTCGTCTGTATCACATTCTTCGATTATTGAAGATTCTGTAAACTCATTTTTCGTCATCATGTCCTATACAATGATTAAGGTGATCGATTATAGCTTTTTTTTACTGCCGTGCATTATACGTGTAATCTTCCTACCTCCAGATTCGCTCTCCTCTTCCCACTGTGGATTCTCACTTTCGCTGTCACTTTCGTGCGTCTTCTTCTGCATCTCAACTTGCCTATACTCCTGGTTGTACTGTATAGGACTAGCATATTCAAAACCATCACCAAGTTTTCTCCAATTCGAAAATGCACCTTCTAATTTACTATATCTATTATATATGTATGATATGTAATGTTAATCAGTCAACAATAAAAGTGGACATGGACATTATCATATATAAAAAAAAAGAAATACATACTGTATTCTCGATGATGTAATGTAGTATATTGGTTCTTCCTGATCCTGCGAACTATTAGGCTCGTCCGAAGGTGATAGCAAATCCTTGTGACTTGGTGGATTTCCTTTTTCTTCCTTTGTATTCGAGGAAGATGGTTGGTTTTGCTGTTCAGTGGATTCAGCTGGAGCAGGTGCTAGACAATTTGCAACCATTATTGCTCTAATCGAGGAAGCATTTCCATTATAGAACCTGAAAATCATTACAAACACACGAAAAAAATTATAATTCATTTAAGAAAGTTAACTGCTTGTTTAACGAGATTAAATTGAAGATCAATTGAGAAGACATTTAGTTGTCACTTTACCTAAAGAGCTGTGTCATAATGGGCACATGTTCGCTAGCTGATTCCTGATTTGCCTTATTAAGCCAAACTACACTGGTACTGACCAAATGTGCTAACCAATGCAGATTTCCACTTAAAAGGTAACGTTCACTGTACCATGTACCAAATATGTCATATGGCTTATTCACTACTCTACACTGGAGGTCAAACCCAGCTACACAAGAAAAAAAATATACATACATACATACATACAAATACACACGCACACACACATACATACATACTATATATGTATATATATATATATAAACATTTATTTAATGGAGGAAATCGATTTTTTTTGTCAACAATTTTAGGTATCTTATTGACTCTTCATTTAAAATTTATTTCTATTATCAGCACCATATAATCTTGTCTAATCTATATGTATACTGTATTATACATAAGACTTTGATCTTTTGTTTACACTTACGGGCTACTCTGAATACTGCTATTTCTCCTGAAGTACTATGAGGTGTACCAAAATGAACACCAGAGACGAGAAGTAATGTATCTGTACAATTAAACTGAGAAAATTGTGTATATTTCCAACTAAATGTTTTCATGTCATGTGAATATTTTATAGTAACAGGATACTGACTTTGCCATACCTAAAACAAAAATATACAACTTGTATATTTAATAATTTATGTAAGAGAAAATAATTGTGAGATTGAGAGAACTTACGAGAATATATCCATCTTTTGAACATGTTGCAAACATTTTGCCATTATGAGAAAAACTCACGTGTAAAACCTGATGCGAATGTTCTTTAAGAATTTCAGTTTCTATCAACGGAGTGTGATATGCCAAACGTTTGAATTCTCCCAACCAAGAAGTTTTTCCTAAAAAGGGATACATATATGTTGAGATAAAATATTTACACAAACGTATAATCAAGGTAAAATTCCTTATATGGATAAAGCTTCCTCATACATAAAAAATTTTTTTAGATTGATATTTCTTGAATAATATAAAATTGTTGATATTATTTTTATGTTATAACATTGTTAATAAGATATTATTGTTGTTAAACATTGTAAAGAGACACCATTCACATCAGACAATAAATACCGATTGCATTCAATAGAAAAAAATAATTTATTGTTAATAAACGATTTGTGATGAATGGATTATATTTTCTATTAATAATCCTATTTTTACTTAATCTAAAAGTATAATCCACACTAAATACAATCATTACCATTAATTTTAATCAGAAATTTATAATAAATTTATTGCAAAATTAAATTTGTTTAATGTTATTTGATGCATCTCTATTATTATTATTATTATTATTATTATTATTATTATTATTATTATTATTATTATTATTATTATTATTATTATTATTATTATTATTTCTCATATTTCTCATATTTCTGTTGGCCTCATGGACGCGTAGTTACTCAGTTGAATCTAGCGTTTTGCTCCGAATTTGAATTGATCTTTGGAAAGTAGATAATACATTCCTATATGTAATATCCGACGGAGAATGTTATTTTCGATTATGATCGCGTCAAAGTGCCGCGAATACCACTCGTGGTGAAACGTACCTGGCACGATGCCGACGTCCGGATCTATCTTGTATGTCCGATAAAATAAATATTTCCACAGGAACTCGTCACGCGACACTCTGTACCACGATTGACATACTTCGCCCGCGGTCATCAACTCCCTTGGTGTCAGGTACTGGAAGATGCTTAGGAGAATCGAATCGGACATTACATACCAATTGTAGTCGTAGTCACTACGTGACGAATACTCGCTGCCATCGTCCGACTCGCTGATATTCTCCTCGGCGGTCTGGTCGGCGACCAGCGCGGCATCCTCGACGCCGTCCATCGCTGCCGTGCGCGGCGGTATATTTACTGGAACAGCTGATATCTGTCAGTTACTGCTCGGCAGTCGTCGTCACGTCACGTCACGTCACGCCACGCTACGCTAAGGATACGCGAGCTCGACCTAGGTTAGAATCTCGTGGTCAGTTGCGCGCCACTCTTCACGGACGTTCACGATCGAGTGCATCACGTCGCACAACAACGCACACGGTAAAAATATGATACGAGCCGTTGCATCTCGTAAGCGGCACGCATTTGTGCTAATTCGTGCCCGATCATACGTTCACGGATAGAAAGATCCGTGCGCACTTTTTCGATAAATTTCGGAACGCCTCGATATTGTGGAGGAACGCGTCTCCCGTGGTCTGGTCACTCGTCTTCTGTCACGATGCAACACAGATAGCGAACCGTTTGGTCTACTTGAAATCTTTAACACCTTTCGCCTTTGAAATGAAATAAATATTGAAAAAAAGATTTGTTCTTATTGAACCTTTTATACTTTACACTTATCTTTCTATTTATCTTCATACTTATCTTATTTTAAGGATCGACAGGACAGACAATGGAAATCTCTATCGGAGAGAAATTCCTTTTCATTCATTTAGGGCCAAAACACTGAGAGAATTACCATAGAATTATGATATTTATAATCAGGATTTATAATCATCTGTTACAGAGCAATTTAAAAAACAAAATAAATTCATTTGATGTATAACTGTAGATTTGCACTACAGAGTGCAATAAAGTATGGGTATTTTTATTTATTGTAAATTTTTAAGAATCAAATTGCAAGATCCAATTCTGTTTTATAACAAATACGTAGAAAAAAGTTTAATAGCAAAATATTACTTCTACGAGATGAAATATAATTTTACTCAAACAAATATCTGCACTATAGATAAGGAATAGATAATCATTTATAATGTTATATTATATAATTATTTAAGAATTAAATTGCAAAATTTGACATTGTAATAAATTTGTAGCAATCACACAAAAAAATTTCATGTCAAAATATTGCTTCTCAAGATGAAATATGATTAAACTCAACATGTATCTATAATTGTAAGTATCAAACATGTATCGATAATTATCCACATAGATATAATATAGATAATTATCCATAAATAAGAAATAGATAATCTTATTGAAGTTATGCCCAATTTCACCAACGCAGATTAACTTTAATTTCGATTCAATCACAGTTTAACCAGTTACGACAGTAACCGAAATGCCAGAGTATAAAATTCCAGTTCGCATGCGTGAGAAATCCAATCCACAATATGACCACAGTTTAACCAACCAACATTTAACCAACCAACGCGCTCAGGGAATTCACCCATAGGTCTAAAGAAATATGGGTCGCAAGTATAGTATGCAGCTTTGATAGTAGATGGCGAATAACATACAACGCTTTCTTTCTCGAAAGTATACTTGAATGTATTATTTACTATATAAGTAAGATTTTAAAAGTGGGTAACCGTACTTGCTTCGGCAGTACATATACTAAAATTGGAACGATACAGAGAAGATTAGCATGGCCCCTGCGCAAGGATGACACGCAAAATCGTGAAGCGTTCCACATTTTTTGCCATTGTGTATCTTTAAATTATCCATTTGTCATTAATAAAGTTCCAATATTAGTCATAATATTGGAACCTAGTTATAGTTCCTATATTATATATAGGTTAGTTCCTATATTATATATAATATGCTTTACGTAATTATTTTTTTCTCGGTTCCATGATTAATTGTCAGATTTAATTCAATTCATCAAAATCGTAATTAATTTTTACAATTTTATCGACTGACAGAACGATGATAGATATTATTTTGTATTTGAAATGAAAGGATGAACGAAATTCCTTGACGAGATTGTAAAAATTCCGATAATATAACGAGTGAATGGATATGCGTTTTATTGCATCAGGAGGGTCGTTGAGACCAATGTCGGTAATGTGTAATCTCGATCCTTACGCGTTCGCGGTGTGATTGCTCCGCGATAATTAGTGAACGTGAGGGCGTATCCATACGCCAATTCCGTGTCGAGGCTACATCTTGCAGAAGGTGTTTCATAAGAGTGTTCGGTTTATCGATAATTGCAAGAAATATGCCCTTCCGAATACCGGTATCAGTCCGTCGATAGGTTACATCCTGTGAGCGGGACAAATGAATCGATTGTAAGTAGTGGAAACGCGAAAGACTCGCAAGGAAGAATCATGTCGAGAAAGTGGTTGTCAAATTTTACCCTGGCCGGGATCATCAGGCTGCTAATGATGAATTCCGAGTACCAGAAAATCATCAGCGATCGCGTCGAGGTGTCGACCGCCTTAAACTCCTGGAAAAGAGGTTAGTCAGATGTCTGCCTCTCGGTTTGTTTCAGCTATTATAGAACGAACACAGTTTTATTTTTTTTCGACTACTTTTATTTTGTAGATTAAATATCATTTTGATTAATCAGGGACAGATCGATTTCGTAGTCGCAGTTTAATACAGTTCTAATTTTCAGTAACCGAAGGAGTGTATCTGCACAAATTCGGCATAGATCCTTACGAAGGAGATCTGTTTCACGAGACTCCGATCGGCTTATATGTCTTCAACTTGATGCAGGAATATTTACCTCAGTGGGCATTATTTCTGCTATTTGTTGTCGTTGATCTAACAACCGCTCTGTGCCTCGCTCTTACTGCAAAACATTATGCAATCGAATTGGTCAGTTCATCAATAGAGTTTATTCTTCTTTTGTCTAATTTAATACGTTCACTGTTTATAATTTATTAAATCTAAGATCTTAGTCATATGTTCAGCAACAGTTTTATGGATGTTTTTTTTTTTTTCATAGAACTGAGAACTTAAAGACTAGATATCTCGCTATTAATGAAGTTTTGTTTGCAGCAGTGAATGTGTTAAAGTTTTGTAATGAAAATACATGATATTTATTTTATTTTTATTTATAGGCAACAAAACGAAAAAAGCAAAAGGAGAAGAATGAGAAACTTAACAAAGACATTCCAAGCAGTTCTGCTCTATATGTTTCTGCAGCATATCTGTTCAACCCATATATAATATTGAACTGTGTTGGTCTGACGACCACAGTTTTTACCAACCTACTTTGCTCGATCGCATTAGTATCAATGACAAAACGCTCCGTGCTCTGGAGTTGTATGCCAATAGCATTACTGACGTTGCAAGGACTCTATCCTGCGTCGCTGATGGTACCGGCAACGATTTACGTCGCCAGTACGGCGAAGAGCAGGAAGGTCAGTATTATTACAATGCTAGTCACATTCACGAGCATCCTGGCGGCCCTAGTCGCCATTTCTTACTGTATCATGGGAAGTTGGTCATTCCTGTGGAGTACCATTGGCTTCATTCTAATTGTTCCCGATTTGCGTCCGAATATTGGGCTGTATTGGTACTTTTTCACGGAGATGTTCGAACACTTCAGATGGCTTTTCATCGCGTCCTTCCAGATAAACGTCGGTTTACTATATATAGTTCCTCTAGCCTTGAGATTACGACGCGATCCAATGTTACTGGCGTTTTCATATCTAGCGATAGCTGCTATATTCAAGTCCTATCCATGCATCGGAGATGTTGGCTTTTATATATCTTTACTGCCACTGTGGAAGCACTTGTTTCAACGTGAGTTGAGTTTTCGATGTTTCTTATTATGCAAATCAAAGTGGCACGAATTGTTCTAATGTGAGTCTTCTTTCCCTCTAGATATGCAACAGGGATTCATTGTAGGTTGTTTTATACTATTTTGCACGGTCTTCGCTCCTACTGTGTGGCATCAATGGATCTATTCTAGATCAGCGAATGCCAATTTCTACTTTGGAGTAACATTGGCATTTGCCATAGCACAAATCTTTCTCCTCACGGACATCCTATTTGCCAGCGTGAAGTACGAATTTGCAGTTCAGTACGGTATCAATAAAAAGGTTAATGGAAATGAGGCTAAGCTGCTACTTGAATGAAATAGGCTTTCTATTGAAATGTATAATACTTTATCAATGAACGATGACAAGTGACACATGTCTTTGAAATATTTGCCACATGAGAATAAAGTTTTGTTTTTTTTTTTTTTTCTTTTTTTACTTTTTTTAAATTTTAAATTAAAATTAGTTTCTTTTAATTTTAAATTAGTATACTAACTAACTATGTTGTTTACTTAATTTTAAATTTTAAAAACGTAAAATAAACTAAAATACACAAATAATGATCTACACACACACACACACACACACACACACACACACACACACACACACACACACACACACACACACACACACACACACACACACGACGACGACGACGACGAAC